CAGGCGTGCCGCGCACGCGCGATGGAGCCCAGGGTTTAGAGCCCCGCGCAGGGTTGGTGGGGCGCGTGGTGTTCTCACGCTCGCTTCCCGGGTGCCGCTTTTAGTGTCCCGCACCGAGTAGTGGTTCCTACCTCTCGAAGCGTGCGTCTGGAATGAGCGCGGCACTCCTTGTAAAGCACTCTCTCCTCTGTCGAAACGGCGGGGCTCCCCGCAATCGCCCAAGCCTGAGAGGCTGGTACTGCGAAACCCCAGCACCTGCTTCGAGAGCCCCTTGTGCCGGCCTAGGGACCCGGGATCACCGGTGCTGCGGGTCACTGGTGCAGGTAGCGCTGCGCACCTGGCCTGCTGCAGAGCTCCACACTGAACTGAGTACTTGCCTGAGAATAGTTTATAGCTCCTCTGCCAAGACCTTGTTAAATAAGTGGAGCCTGTGATTTTGGTGGCAAGACCATCTTTGCTCCTTAGGAAGGGTTTCTCGGCTCCTTTTCTACATAGTGATTTGAGAGGGGAAAGAGTTCTTAGAGATCCTCTAAACAGCCTCAGTTTTCAAGCAACCACGAATGTTAGGTGGCTTTCCCATAGCCACGCTGTGTTCTAATGACAGTCCGCATTCATTCAACGCAGTGCCTGCGTTTCTTTTGCCTACACCGTTTCACCTAGCTTTCTTTCTCTTCCTTTTCACCTCTTTTCAACTTAGTATCGTTTTGTCCTTGGGTAGAACACAGGCCTTAGTAATATTGATCCTATGTACAACATGAATGTGTTTAACACTACCTATGCTTACACTTAAAAAGAGATAAGATGATAACTTTTATGAGTTGCGTAATTTTAAAAAATGTTCTCAAATATTGAGTATTGAAGAGTCATGAGCTTAAACATCAAAAGGTGTGTTAAGTGAACAAGGATGATAGGATCTAAAATGAAAGTTTTCCTAATTAATACCTATGTGTTTTTTCAAATAATATCAATCTTATCTGGATGTGGTAGTGTACGACCTTAATCCCCATACCTTAAGAGGCTGAGGCAGGAGGATCCATCTTGAGTTTGAGGTCAGCCTGGACTACATAGCAAAACACTGTCTCAAAATCTTAAAAGCCACAAAAGTAATTTTGACCCTTACACTGATTCTAGGCAGTTCTAGGTAATATTGATCTTTAGGGTGATTCAGTGTGTCCTGGGAAGCCAGCAGTGCCTCTGCTGAGGGTAAACGTGTCATATAGTGTGGGAAATCTCTGTGTGCCTGCTTTGTTGCCTTCCAGATCCACTGTGGCTGAGGAGGAATCTCTGAGACCTGGTGCTAGGTGCGTTTTTATTCAATTTACACATTATCCTGTAAAGACTATCAGGCACAGGACACAGCACAGCTCACATCTGGGGTGAGAATGATGTAGAAATGATCCTGGGTGCATCAAATGATTAAATCTCAAAATAATATTGCATGAAAAAGCAGACTACAACGTATATAAGTGGTGTCTGTCTTTTTTTAGCCTGATAAGGGCAAATATATAATATAATATATAATATATGTGATAAAATAAAAATGAGCAAGAAGGCTACCCATTAATTTCATGACAATGACGACTTCTAGGCAGACAGGGTGGAAATGATATTTGGGAATATACAGGAGGGGCTTCCACTGTATCTATTACACACACACAAATGCACACACAGCAAAAAGTTAACATTTAAAAAACAAATCTCCAGAGATACCCAGTGTTTCTTACAAACGTCTCTAAACTTTTCTTTATGTTCCAGTTGTTCCACATGAAAACAATACTGAGTATCTCAGACACTGAGCTGCACCTGCATGCTTCATGTGAACACAGAGGGAACAGGGTGACTCACTTCCCTTTGGGGGAGCAGTAATCCATCGGATGATCTGTAGGACAGAAGGCGTCCAGAAGATGCTGACCAGACAACATACGAAAGGGACCCTTTCTCATGGATAAAAATATTCAAATCCCTCAAGACTAAAGTGAGATGCTCGCTATGCCCTGTGTTGCTTTCCTTCCCCAACAGAAAGTCTTTAACGAGCGGGAACTTCACAGAGAGGCTCAGCGCTCTTGACACTGTTAAAACCGGTCTCTTTCTGGATGAACCCGTTTTGAAACCATAAACGTTAACTGGTAATGCATGGTAATTTAGTATTACACGTACATACTTCCACCCCCAAAGGCTTTGTTTATTCATTTCCATACAACCTGGTCATGCGGAAAAACCACCAGGCTGAAATTCAGACTACCTAGGTTCTAATTTCAGTTTGGCCACCTCCTGTTCCTTTGTGAACTTAGGGAAACAACCTGTATGGGCTCCACTTTCCTTTTTCTATTTAAATTGGAGATATTTAAATGCTATTTGATAAGTAGCAGACGCAACAAAAACACAAGGTTTGTACATGTGCTTACGGTGGAGGAGAGTACATTATTTTAGGAAGCAGCGAGGAGAGTTATTTTTGTCGCTGCTGCTATGGTTGCTTGGGGATTTGGGGGATTTTGTCATTGTTGTTCTTTGCTCTCTTGTTGTGGGTAAGAACTGCTGTGCATTAGCTGAAAAAACTTGGATCTGGGAATTTGAACTCTGTTGTATTCTTATAGTTCTATCTCAGCTGTTAGGACTGTAAAGCCTTCTATTAGTGACTCGCTGCATTTTCTGATTTTCTTCGCTAGACCCACCCCACACGCATCCCACATCCTCATTCTGGTCTTTATTACAGAGTGGGTGCTCCACAAATTTAATTAATTTAATTAGACCATATTTTAAAGATCCCCAAATTTTGAGTCATTCTTTTAATGCATGTCATCTGTTGGTTCCTCGATGTACCCGACACCCAGGTACCTATCTGAATTACATTATCCAATAAATCGAAACTGTGGAAGCACTCATGTGGTGGTGTTTGGGGTAATTTCCCCCACGTTCTTCCACTTCCTGGGCAGGTGCTGTTCTTCCATGGAATCAGTCTCCAACTCTCTTTCCTCCAGCTCTCTTTTACCTATTGGTCACTCTTAAAACCTGGCAAAGTGGAGTGTTTCGGAATGCCAGAACAATGTAACCGGACATTCTCAGTAGGTAAGGGCTGATTTGGGACACCATTCCCTCTTGTCTTGAATGAACCAAAGCTACATATTTAAGGATTGGATGCATCTTCGTCCTAGCAGCGGGGATGTCGCAGCCCTTCCCACTCGCGTGTCGCCCACACCTTTTCATTTCATCTCTGTGCCCAATTTTGGAACCAGCCCTCTTAGATGCCCTGGCCAATCAAGAGACCACACATTGTTGCCTAAGAGACCCCGGATGCCAGCGGCAGGATCGCGAGACGGTGATTGGACTCCTGGAAACTGGGAGGTGGGGGCTGGAAGGAGGCTTGGAAAAAGCTGACCCTAGTCCCTAGCGCAGCTATGGCAACCCCAGCGCTCGAGGCTTGAAGAGGGAACCGTGCTAAAAGAGGTGAGAGCAGCGGGCCCTGCATGGAAAAAAAAAAAAAAAAAAAAAAAAAAAAAAAAAATGATGGAGATGGCTTGGAGAGCTCTCGGGCCTCCACACGCCGCGTCTGTGTTCGGGGATTACTGTCCCATTGCCAAATGCTGCAAGCTTGTGAAATTAGCACCTAGCAGTCACATGCCCACTAGCGCTTTGCAATGCGCTGTAGTTCTTGTTTGGATTTTAACTGGTTGAATGTAAGGTGCATTCATACGTAAATCTACTCAGCCTATTTCCTGAAGAAATATTTGAGAGTACCTTGTCTCATGATATTAGTGTATGGTGGGCGAATTATGTGTTAGTAGAGAAACTCAACTCTGTCCTGAGCTGTAAACTCCAAATAAAAATCTGGTAATCCTGATTATCATCCCAGTTCCCGGTTCCTATGTTTTGAGTTTTTTCCGTACAATTCCACTAGTTTTAATTCTCACACTGCTACCCCCCTCCATTGCTGTGTTCATTCTTTTCATTGATTTAACGAATATTTATTGAGCATCTGCTATGTACTGTTGTGATTAGGATTCAGGTGGCCAGGGTCAGAAAATCACGTGTGGAAAGAAGCATCAAAGTTTGGGAGCCATTTTCTCAGGTGCGGAGGGGCTCAGTGTGTCTGGACACAGCACAAAGAGGAAAGGGGATGATGCTGGAGGAGGTTGAGGTACAGTCTTAGTGGACCCCGACTTCCGTGCTAAGGAGTCTGGGTTTTGTCACCCATTAGCAAGCCTGTGAAGATTTTTAAGTTGAAACTTGACCGGATCAAAATGTACTTTTCTATAAAGAATGAGCTTTCATATGAAAGTAGAAAATTCTTTTTTTTTTTTTTTTTTTTTTTTTT